TAGTGTACAATGCAATATCAAATATTCAACACTTAGACAAATTTCAAGCAAAAAATGATTTCATTAATGAAGATAAAAATATTCAGAACCCCTGGCCGGGTAAATACAAAGCAAACGGCACGCAGGCCGTGGAAAGAATACATTAAGCTTAAGAAGGGGGCAGTACGGTATTAGCAGCTGCCGCCTGGTCAGCACTCTTCTTGCTGGACTCGGCTTCAGCTGCATCCTTTTTTTATGCCTTACCCCCAAGTGGCACAAGCGCCACAACCGGCTCCTCCTCCTCCTCCGACGCTTCTCCCAACGCCTCTTCTTCAGCAGCCGTCAGGATCTCTTGATTATATGTTTCCGAACACTGACGGTACGTTCTTTCCCAAGAGGCAAAGTCGGCACTGGGGAAGAGGCGGCTCCAGGTCATGCGCTGGATCTGGGAAGAGTCTTCAATCATCTCTCGGACGAGCTCTCTCTTCTCTTGCTCAGCCTTCTCCGAGAGCTCTTTAGTTAGACTCTTCTCCTGGGTCACCAGGCGTTCCTTTACATTAGCCAAGGATTTCTCCATGGCATCGTATGAGAGTATCTTTTGGCGGAGAGGTTTAAGCTCGGCCTTGAGATTGGAGACGGTCGCCTCCAGCTCGCTGTTCCTCTTCTGGGCCGCCTCTAAGGGAGAGGAGGCGGCTGCATCAAGCGTAAAAAAGCAAGTTAGACCTACTCAAGAAGGAAGCAAGTGAAAGTTAATACAAGTAATTGTCCATACTTCTAGGCGGCCCCGCCGGAGTTTTAGAAGAAGTGGCCGGCTGCTTCTCAGCCGCCACTGTTTTCCTGGAAGACCCAGGAGAGCTAGCAACAGTCGTCCTCCGGGCCTTGGGGTCCGGCTGTTGCGAGGAAGAAGCTCTTGGAGTGCCCGACTGAAAAAAAAAAAAAAAAAAAGTTAGTATATGCATAAGACAACAACTCCTAAAAGAGGAAGAGTTTCGAGGCCTACCAAGGGTGCCCCCTTGTTGGGGGAGTCGGTACAGGACTGTTGCATGAGAGAGGCCCGCAACATGGCCGCCGCAGTCTTGGATGCTGTTATTTTACTCATGGCGTCAGCTGCAAAAAATAAACAGCAAAGTTAGTAAAAATTCCAAGTAAACAAGGCGTGAAAAACAGAGTATTCGTCAGGCCGGCTACCTCTAGAGCACCGACTGCTGAGGCCACAGGCGGCCAAAAAGTACTCGTCATAGAGCCACTTGAAGCTCGGGACGCAGTTCAGGGGTACTTGCTCTCGTACCCCTGAAGTAGAGTTCACCCTAGTCTCTACTTTGAAGAGTCCTTTGTCTAGGATCTCTTTTTTAGCCGTTGGGGGAACAGGCGGCATGCTGCGGCCGCCTGCGAGAAGAGGCGGATCCCTATTCCACTTGTTAAAGCGTTTGTTCAGCTCCGTGTCTGAACCCTCGATGATAAGGAAGGTGTTCCGCCAATCCTTCCATTTGTTCGCCTTACCTCTCGTCATGAGGTAGCCCCTATGGCTTGTTAATTGATACCAGCCGGTACCTCCCGACTTAGGGGTCCGGCTGAGATAGTTCATGTGGGCGAAAGCCTCAAAGTTTGGCTCCACCCCGTACATTTCGCACCCGGCCACATAGCCGAGTACGTTTACCCAAGAGTTGGGGGCTAACTGCCATAACCCCAAATCATACCCGTCTAAAATCCGCTGAACAGCCGGATGTAATGGGAAGCGCAGCCCAGCTTTGATGGCCGCCTCATAGCAGCCAAAGCAGCCGCTATCATAGCTGGTACCAGCCGGCCAGACGACAGTGTCTTCTGGATCCGGCACGAACAGTAAAAATCCGGGGCCCATTCTGTGGTTAGCTATAAAGCTCTCCACTTTGTCTTTCATGGCCGCGATCCGGCCCCGGGGTACCGTGCAGTAGTAGGGGGTGTTTTCCTCTCTGTAAGAGGCGGACGGCTCCGCCCAATTGCCCCCCTTCTCAACTGCATGAGAAAGCCTCGCCTCTTGTAGGCGGCTGTTTCTTTCTTCTGAGCCTGGAGAAGCGTGGCCAGAAGAGCTGGACTCGGACTCGTCCTCTGACGAGTCCGAAGAGGACGACTCCTCCCCTCTCCCCGAGGGGCCCGCCTCCTCTCCCTTAGAAGGAGCAGGAGAAAAGTTAGACATATCAACGGTCAAATGGGAAGGAATCACCTTGACCCCTCCCTCAGAACTGTCGGCTTGGCAGCCGCCTTGTTTCCCATCTACATCTGGCGCCTGGTCAGATGTTTCACTAATGGGCACCCTTTGGGAGGAGCCGTCCGAGTTTGAGATCCTAGCAGTCTTCTTTGTTCTGGCCATCACGTTCTGCATAGACACAGATACAGTCGGACTTTGTATAAAGGGCAAAGATGGGTCCAGAAAAGGGCAGGCGGCACTCCTAGTCCTAGATTCAGCCGTCCCCGGTGACCGGCTGATCACTAACTTAGGTCGTGTCGTGTGCTTCCATGGTGCCATTTCAAAAAATAATAATAAGAAAAAAAAATTAAGAATAAGAGAACCGACGGTTACCTGAACGAGTGACGACTGATGAAATTCTGAAATCCTTTGCAAACGGCTTGTCAGAGCAGGCGGTAGGCAACAAAAGTCCAAAGTGTCAGAGCAAGTTCAGGGGTCCGAATGTTCTCGCAAAGTTCTCAAATGTGAAAATGACCGAAGTCAGCACCTCCTTATATAGGCAAAGTGAGAAGGCGAAGGGTCGCTTCCAAATTCAAAATTTGGGCGGGAAAATCTCTCGGCCATTTGCAAGGTGACACCTGTAGCAGGCCGTCGCCTGTCATCGTGCGGCACCTGTCACAGGTGACACGTGACCAGTCACGTGCCACCTGTGAGGGGAAAATGATTAGGGGATTTTTATCCACCAATCACCGTCTGACAAGTGGACCAACCAGGTTCCGCCACGTGTCCTTCACGTAGGCCAATAGGAGCCTGCCACGTGTCAATCACAGATACGTCCTCTACGGACCAATTGAGACACGCCACGTGTCCACCCATGCCAAATGGGAAAACCGGCCACCCAGGCCCAACTTCCGAGGGAAGCCCAATCGGCCCTAGGTTTACCTAAACCTAGGATGGGCACGTTTCCCAAGGTTATAAATACCTCCCTTAATCCTCATTAAGGGGAGGGGAGAACAGAACAGAAACATTACGGAACACACTAATAACCGGCTGATCTCGCTAACAAAGCAGATTACCTACATTAAACACTCTCACCTAGAGAGACCTTATTACTTTAATTTCCGCATTAATTACTCCTTAATCAGGTACTAACTTGATCGTTGGAGGCGGAGCTCCCAGGAGTCTCCGTTATTTTGCAGGTACAGGCGTCCGGTTCCAGTCTCGGAATTGTAACTCTCCCGCAGGACATCAGAAAACCCCGAAACAAGAAGGGAACAAATTTCAGTTTGGATTGGATTCTAATTTGAAAAACCGAATTAATTCGGTTCGAATTGGATTGGATCGAATCGTAATTCGGTTTGGATTTGGATTAAGAATTCTGCAACCGAACTAATTCGGATTGGATTCGGTTTTGGCTATAATCCAAACCGCAAACCGAACTTTCACCCCTAATCAAGAGAGCGACACGTGGGCAGCAGTGACATCGACATCTTTTATTTTGGTAATAGTTAATAGATTTATAAACATTGATTTGCTTTGAGCAAAATAATAATAATAATAATAATAGAAAATAATAATAATATTAATAATAATAATAATAATAATAATAATAGAAAATTTTAATAATAATATTATTAATAACAACAACAATAATCATAATAATAAGGACACTAATAATAATCATAATAATAGTAATAAGAACGATAATAACAAGAACAAGAACAAGAACAATAATAATAAGTATAATAATACTCCGTAGCCAATATTATTAAAACTTTTGGGATAACTAATCAAATTTAATTTAATATTTTTATCATAATTTATACATTTTATTATTTAGATAATGGTTATGTAATTATATGTTAATACTTTACCCTAGAATTGTAAGTAATGACTAAAATTAATGATACTCAAATGTTTTTTATATAAAACTACTAATATTATCAGTAGATATGTTAATCAAGTTGAGCAACTTGAAGTCGACTTGGACAACGCTTGGTCAAAACTTGACTTGAGTTGTCTCGACTCAAACTGTTAACCTTAACGAGCATGAGTTCAACAATACTAATACCAATAAAAGAATTAGTTATACCAATACCAATACCAATAAAATAAATTTAACAATGATGTTTTATTTTTCCGCAATTAAATAAAAATATTATTAAACTACTCACGAGCTTATCGAGCCGAGTTATAATGATGCATACCTTTACAAAATTTTCTTTCGAGAAAAAAAATAATAATAATTGTTCTAGATACTCAAAATAAAGTAGATAGTAGTTGAGGTGGTACTACAAAAGTCTTGTTCTTTTCGAAATTAATCCATATAAGATAAAATAATAAGTAAATTAAAACGGCAAAAGAATTGTTCTTTTTCAATATTAATCCATATAACAAAAGAAAAAGATTTGTTCTTTTCGTTATTAATTGATAGATTCATAGATCCATGTAACATAAGCAAATCAATTGAGTATAACTTCATATAACAATTAATAACATTTAAGGAAAAACCCAAGTCAATTACATTTGTTCACTCCTACGTACATACTATGTACTGTTAAGCTATGCTTGTCACAATGCAACATGTAAAGTCATTTTACAAATTTAATGGGTGGATAATTAATATAGTTTTATCTGTGCAATCAATTTGACAAGTTTTAATTTATAAACTTGCTTAAACAAAGTTTAATTATTTTTTTACTGTAATATCTTGGGGATGATATTCAAAGCCCTAAGATGAAACAAAGTACATTATTAGTTGATATATGATTCTTATATACAGAAAAATGCTAACTTCGCGTAATAATCATTGATTAGTAATAAAATTAAACTTAGCTTAAAATTTAAGAAGACACCATAAAAAGAAAGCTTTCTAAGATTATTTCAATATGCTTAATTAAAATATATATACTCCTTAGACCGGAGCATATATTAACTGATATATTTTTACTACATAACAACCTCATACATCAAACTAAACTTCAACACCTATTACATAATTCAAATAAAAACTTAATACTCTAGTACGAAATCTGGCTCCGATCCATCCCTAACAATCCAACTTTATTCATCTTCGCGACATTTCTAGAGTTTTAGATCGAACCTTAATTGGCTTGCTCTTCTTTCTCTTAGTGAACCCTGCATCAAATTTTATTATATACACAACTCATTAGAATTAAGTTAAGTGTAAGTCTTAGACGACGTACATAAAATAAGTGTAAGTCTATAACATGATTAACATCAAGCTAATTATAATGGAGTAAGAGTAGTAATTAATGTCATCATTTTTGTCACATATGTTATAGATATCCTTGATAAATTATGTCCTACGTAGTAGTAATGTAGTATATAAATATCCTTTTTTATTTGTACATGTAACGTAATGTACAGTATTTACATTAACCTTTCTTATATCTCACGATTAAAAATAGTGAACTTAGATGATTTAAAAAAATTTAAATGGGAAAAAAAAAAGAGATTTTAATTTACTAAACAACTTCTTAAAAAAATGAGAGGTTGGAAAATTACGTGGAGCAATCAGTAGAAGGGTCAAGCTTGTATGGAATGTTAACCCCACACTTAGAAGGAATAGAAGAAGCCAACCCAAGGTTGACATTTGGCATGGCCTTAGCCGCTGATTTGAGACACTTGCAAACCATCTGACGGTCAGGAGTGGTTTGAGCCGCGGAGTTAAGGGACCTAATTCCGGAGCAACAACCACCAGGTGGGGCACCCTGGCCGCTCCCACGCTCGAGGTAGTCAAGACATGGAGCGAGGCTAGTGGCCATGGTCCCACAAGTGACCGCGGCCTTAGTAGCCCGTGGTGTAACAACCACTAGAGCCATGAATAAAACAACATAAACTACGTGGTTGTAATTAGCCATAGTGTGTGTGTTACGGCTAGTGACTAATGAGAAACTTTCTTTGGAAATGTGAATTTATGATTTTCTAAGAAAATGAGAGTTTGATTTGGTAAGTTGAATGGGGTTGAAAGGAAAAGGTCTAGGGGTTATATAGGCAAAAAATGGAGGAAATATTGTGGTGAATTGAGAGTACTTGTGGTAGTTCAATAATAAATTACTAATCAATGCTGGTTATAATTTTTGGTGCTACCATAATTTTTAGTAGGTAAGTGTCACCTTGTAAAATATATATATTTAAAAAAAAATTAGAAAAATATTGTATGCTTCCTTTGTTTCACAAATATTGCAACAAAGATGAAATTACACATCTCAAAGCACATTTTCTATGTTAAATATCTATAATTATATAAGAGGAAAAATAAAAATAAAAAAGTTGATATTGTGAAAAAAATTTACAAGATGAATCTAACAAGATCTCACATGACTATATTTTACTTTACATATAAATCATAATGTACAGCGAAACAAGCGTGATGAATGGTAAAAAAGTCTAATTATTGCAATATTACAAGAGAAAGAATGTGATATGAAAATAGAAAATACATTTACTATGATAGTACAACACGTCAACACCACAACATCAAGTGGTTGATAATTGTATATGAAATTAAAAAGTGGTTGATAATTAAAAAGTGGTAGTTACACAAGAGGATACTTGTATATGAAATGATGAAATGAGTAACTAAAAGTGTGCTAAGCCTAAAGTGGTATGATATCTTGTGTATTGATCGAGTTGGATTGTACTTAAGTTTTTTAATAGACTACTTCTTTAGTAGTATATCACTTACTCTATGGGTATTTTATTGATTTTAAGATTTCGCAATAACTTTTGTGTGTTTCCGTTCTCACTTAACTATTTTTTGTGGAAGATTTGACAATAAATTTGCAAATATATTTTGTAAATTCGTTCTTTCGGCAAGAAGATAAGGAGAAACTTAGATTACACCTTTCCTAGTTTTTTATGCTAAAAAGAGTGTGTTTTGTGCACTACATACAACAATCACTTGCAAAAGCTTGTAACTGAATTTGATCAACTAGTCACATTGTAAATTGGATGAAATATTTCATATTGTTGTTGTAGATTTTAACTTAGAATTAAGTATTGTGGTTGGTGTTGTAACAATCCCGATTTATTAATGATGATGTTCATATTTCCTTAAAAATATTTCTACATTGTCCAAGTATTATGTCACCTAACACAGCAATATCGCAATAGTAGAATTTAATGAGCTCTTTAGATGCATAAGAAGTCTATGAACTAGGAAGCTACATTGCAATAAGACTAAACGAGACATAAATATTATTTTGATTAAGTTTGATAACCTAACCTCTTAAATCATAATTTTGTTACCTTAATGATTCACCGACTCTAAAAATATTGGAGTAAATCCAACGATGTGTAAGATCTCTAAATAAATACTACCTTCGTTACATGTTTTGTGCAACATTTTTCAAAAACGGATGCTACACTTTATGTGCAACAAAAAATTTCTTTCCTTTTTAGGTAAATTTTTTATAATGAAATTACCACAATACCCCCAATTTAAAATCAATAACAATACTTAATTTACTAACCCAAATTCAATTAATCAAATAATCACCCCCTTCTCTCTCCTACCCCCTTTCTTCTCTTATACCTGAAAACAGAACCACCATCATCATCAACGACCACCGCAAACACCACCAACCCAAGATCATCAATTCTACCATCAACACCATCGAAACCATACCACCAACACCACCCGTTCACCACCGACACCACGACCACCACAACCATCGATCGCTGCGACTACGACCACCAAAGTCCGCCCTTTCGACCTCTAACCCCTCCCGTTAGAGTCGCTGCCCCTCCTCGTGAGAGTCCCCGCCCCCTTGTCGAAATTGAAATTAAAACCCTAGAAATTGAAAACCCAAAAGGGGATCGGAATGAAATATTAAGTTTGAAAACTCAAATCTAAAGCAAAATTGGCAAATATGGGAGGTGAATTTGGGGGAATTATGACCGGTTTTATAAGTGGGTTTGTGGTGGCTTCGGGATGGGTGGTGGTTTTTGGTGGTTATGGCGGGGTTTTCGGTAGTTCTAAGGTGGGTTTTAGGATCTTGGTGGTAGTGTGGTGGGTTGGTATGGTGGTTTCGGCGGCTGGTATGGTACTTTTGGTGGTTCGTACGGTGGTTGGTGGTGTATCTGTTGATAGTGGCGAAAATGGGTGGTGGTGGTGATGCAGTGGGTGATAATGATGGTTGGGTTGAGATTTTAATTTACTAATCCTGTCATAATCACATGCCCATATTTTTGCTAATCAACTTTTTCATTTTTTTTCTTGGGAAGTGTGCAAGCCTCTTTGTTGCACTTAACATGTAACGGAGGTAGTATAAATTGTTACTACCACGTACGTAATACGTATTGTAGTATTTATGTAAAATTTTCATTGCCCTAATTATACTAAAAATATTTAAATTTTGTGCAATTCTTCTGATATACATTCTATCAGTTTCAAAATGAATCACCAATTTTACTGCCAATTATTGGTCTGCACCTTTATCGATCCACATTACAAAGTACTTCCTCTGTTCTTTTTTACTTGACCTGTTTCTTTTATCACGCTTGCCAATGCAAAACTTTAACGATCAATAACTTTAATTGTCGATAAGTAAAAATTATAAAAGTTATATATTATGATAGTACTTGTTGAGACGAATTTAAAAATATCTTACATGAATATGTTTTTCTTTTATTATTATTCACAAAACACGGTCAAAGAAGGTGTGGTGAATAGTGTAAAAGTCAAAGCGGGTCAAGTAAAAAAGAATGGAGGAAGTATATAATAACAAGTTCCGAAAAAAAAATGAAAAAAAAAATATAAAAAAAAAAAAAAAAGCATAGAAAGGAATTCCTTAGCTTACTCGATTGCTTACAAAGCAAATTTTATCCAACTATGCAAAACGATACATGCTACAAAATGAAACACCAACATAAACAAACAAATGCAATAGGTAAAATCTACAAGATATAACAAAAACAAATTGAAAAACAACATAAAAAAATACTAATGTCGAAAACTAATCAAACTATTATTCACCCTGCAGATCGATATAGTTCATCAAAGGAAGACTCTCATACTACCCTGATCGATCAATCTCGAATATCGAAACAGTTGAGGAAGCGAATCTGCTTCAACTTCTTACGAATACACTTCAACGTTACACTTGCATACACCTTTAAGCTATGATTGAACATGTTCACCTTCACAACATCATATGATACATCCTCACTCTTATTCCTCTTTGCATCAGCAACCATCCTTTCGAGTTGGATTACGTGACTCGTGCTTTCACTACTAGCAAGAGCGATTTCTTTTCTATTGATGGTACCTCTAAGCTTGGATGACATGGTCAGGATACCGGAGCTATTCATAGTAAAAGTAACATCGAATTTAGGCTCTTTTGCAGGTGCTTTAGGAAGGTCAGTGAGAATAAACTTGCCTAAGAAATTGTTATCCTTGATCATGTATTTCTCACCTTCATACACCGCGAATTTTGCAGCTTTCTGATTGTCGAAGACAGTTGTGTACACCTTAGACACCTCGATTGGTAAACTTGCATTCTTTGAAACCATTACACTCATTTTTTCACCATAAACCTCAATACCGAGACTTGTTGGGACTAAATCAACCACCTCAGATCTTATAGCGTTTCGCTTAGTAGCCAGCATTTCGGAGATGATTGTTGCTCCATAAGCAACTACTTCATCAGGGTTAATGTCTTTAAAGAGCTTAACATCCTTAAAATAGTCCTGCAACATTTGCTGCACTTTCGGAATCTTAGACGATCCACCAACAAGTATAACAGAGTTAACATCGTTCAATTCTGTACAACTTTTTTCCATACACTTAGCCACACAATCTATACTCCTTTTGAACACATTCATACTCAACTTCTCAAGAAGTCGACGACTTACAAGAGAATAGAAATCAGTGTTCTCGAAGAGACAATCAATTTCAATTGTAGTCACAAGAGCCCATGACAGCACTCTCTTAGCTCGCTCACACGCAGCTCTCAACCTCGCAACAGCCCTAGCATTCTGACTCATGTTCTTACCATGCTTCCTTCGAAACACTTCCATAAAGTGCTCCAACAGTCCTTTGTCAATATCATCTCCACCTATGCAAGCTTCACCTTTGGTAGCCATGACCTCGAATTTATTCGAGCATATACTAACCATTGACACATCAAGACAGTCCCCGCCAAAGTCAAACACCACAACAGTATGCCCAGACAACCTTATGTCCTGCTTTTTTCTGTTAAAAGCATACGCGACTGCAGCTGCAACTGGCTCATTGATAAGACGAATACCCTCAAGTCCTGCAAGCTCCCCAGCGGATTTGGTTGCCTGCCTTTGTGACACATTAAAGTCTGCCGGGACAGTTATAACCGCGCTTGTTACTTTCGAGCCAAGATAAGACTCTGCATTCTCCTTCAACTTCTTTAGCACCATAGCAGAGATATCCTCTGCAGAAAACTGCACCTCTTCGTCATTGTAGGTGACCGCGATGATCATAGGCTTCGACTGATGATTAACAACCTTAAACGGCCAGAATCTCTTGTACAAACCTACTACTGGATCACTATATTTCCTTCCAATCAGCCTTTTTACACCTATTATACATCACATACAAGAAACAATACTAGATCAAAAAAGTGCAACTCATATATATAAAGTAGCACATACAATTTTCCTTAAATTCTCAATTTATATATATAAATTTTCAACTTTATATACTTCGTAATTATAAAATCTACTCTGAATTATTGACCATATAGGCATATATAATTAGTCCAGCATTGACAGGCGTAAATTGAAAATCCATATGACGCTATAAAATATAGAATGCAAAAACTCTATGATATTGATGCATAACATTAACAATGTATCACTAATTTAATGCTATTATTATCAAACTATTTATGACACTTTGTAACGCAATGTTTGATTTATGTTATGATCACATATATATTCACATTGTAAAAGGGAATATTGGAACAATATTAATGTCAATGATGTACTAAATAAAGTGAAAGTGTTGATAACTCTTAGAATCAAACCAAAATACTTGTAAATCATTCAAAAATTAAACGGACCGTAGACGGTGCTAGTAGGGTGTGAACCCATTCGAGCCTTGGCCGAATCACCAACGAGGGGGTCGCCATTGGTGAAAGAGACACAGGATGGTGTGGTTCCGTTGCCTTTGTTATTAGGAACAATCTTAACACCACCATTTTGCCATACACCCACACAAGAGTACGTAGCACCTAGATCAATCCCGATCGCCCCGTTCGAGTATTCCTTTTTTGGCACAGGTATAACTAAGGAAACACAAAAACATAACACTGATTAGAAATTGTGACACTCAGCATTTAACATAAGGATTTAGATCAAAGAATTAGTTTTTCATAAAACTTTATGTAACAATAATCAATTGAACATGAAAATCACAATTATAAATCTATAAATTGTACTACGTTAATTAAGCAAGCGTGTATAATATAAACAATTAACAAAGGATAATGATTATACCCTTATTATTCTTCTTATGAACTTTCATTCTTCTTAATCAATTGACTTAATAGTAGGATATTTTCTCTCTAATATTGTGTTATCTCACTGGATTTTTAATTTTTTTTACTAGTTCGCTCACATTTTAAACTATCTTATAGTAGTCGAGTTTAGAAGAGAGGTTCGTTGCAATTCTAAAGGGAAGTTAGAAATTCAGCACAATTGAAGGAGATTTTCGAGGGTTTTATGATATTATAATATACAATAATACTTCAAATTTGGAGTTTGGTTACACCTTAGAACGGTATTTAGGGAAACTTAGAATATGTAGTTAAACATGATCAAGTATAAATGGATAATTATAAAGAATAGGGACGCTTTATTGTACATATTACAAAAGGCATAAATTGGTTTGATTAGTAATAATTACTTCAATTTCTATTTTAAAAAGGAAAAAATTGCATAAAATAATCCAAACATTCACGTATTCGCTTTGAATAATCCCAATTTTGGATTTCGCTTCATATAATCCCAACTTTGAAATATATTCACTCACACCAAGGCTCATGTGACCGATTTTTTTTTAAGCTAATTGACACATGTCATCGCGTTTAAAAAAAAACTAAAACAAAATTCCCAACCCCAAGCCCCTACGACAACCACCATCGGCATCAGGCCTGCCACCTAGCCTAGGTCCCCGGCCTTACGCCAGCCCACGCCAGCACCTTGCTCCCACACCGAAATTGCCCTAATCGGCTTCTCTTACCCTCAAACAACCAATCCCACAGCTTAAATGCCGAGTTATTACGTTTCTTATCCGATGCATATTCCACCTCTACATCATTGATTCCCCGAGAAAACCGAGACTTACTCAATCGACGCTGATTTCGATCAATCTCTAGTAATTAAGCCCCTAGACAAAAAAAAATGTATAAAATTTTGGTAAATAATTTAAATTTAAGTTGATTAGTTATCCCAAAAGCTTTGCTAATGAATTTTGAACGGCAATATACATATTAATTAAGCCCATGTAAAAAAAAAAAAGAAAAAAAAACACACTAATAATATTAACAATATCAACTCTCTTCATATAAATAAAAATAAATGACAATAACAAAACTAATTAACAAAACTCATAATAATTTGCTCAAGTTAATTAGGGGGCGTTTGGTTGGGGGTAATAAATAAAGGGAATGAGAATGAGAGGGTTTCATTCCCTTTGTTATTGTTTGTTTGCCACATTTTCCCATTCCCTTTACCCCTTTTTATTTTTGGGTTTACCCATTTTCCCTCTACACTCATTCCCCACCCCCTCCCCTTTTGCATTCCCATTCCCCGGATCACCACTACACCACCACACCACCAACCTCACACCAACCACCACCTTGCTGCCCTACCCCACCGTCCAGCCACCTTGCTGCCTCTCCCCAGTCATCGTTGCTCCGTCGTCGCCGCCGCCCCCCATGGTCGCCGGAGATTGTCGCTCCTCCCCCCATGGTCGCCGGAGATCTCGCTCTTTCAATTCTCCACCCCTCCCTTGCCTTGACCCACGCCACCCCTCTTGGTACCAACCTTTCATCATCCATTAGGCCTTAGTACCAATATCGCCGGTAAATTATTTTCTCTCTCATCCCAAAAATTTAAATTCAATCTAATCTTGAAACCCAGTTTTCTCCCAAATTGCACTCCTAACCTTATGCAAATCTCTCCCTTTCAACGTCCTCCCAACACCTTCATGAACTGAACACGACGCAATTATCTTGATTTAACAATTTCCGCAGGGGCGGCGACGGCGGGAGGGGCGGCGGCTAGGATGTGGGTAGCTAAAACTGTTGAAATTGGAGGTGTTGCGGTTGTGTTGTGGTGGTGTGATTCTTGGGTATTTTTTTTAAAACAAACAACATGTTAAAAAGAATGGGTTTCATTCCATTCTCTTTGATTACCTTTCTTCATTCCATTCTGATTCCCTTGGGCGAACCAAACGGCCCCTTAGTATATACTAGGTTAGAACCCGTGCAATGTACGGTTTATATAAAACCTATTTTTAATTTGTACATTTTAATAATAAATCGCTATTATACATTAATATAAATAACAATTACGTACATTTTGTAATTTAAAATCATTTATCATCATCAAAATTATGATATAGTATTTGTTTGATGTCGTCTAATTCTTAGTTTAATGTAGGAGTTCATTTATTAGTGTGCTATTTAAAATTGTTTCAATTTCCTACGATAAAATGATAGGTTTTAGTTGTAAGATGGAAATTAAACTTCTAATATTTAATTTTCAAAAATGTTAAATAGGATAGCTCTACCAACAAAAAAAAGAGATGACATCATCATTGCATTTAGGCAGGAAAATTTTTATCAAGAGTAGGGGTGAAAGTAATTCTAATTAAAACCAAACCGAATCGAAAATCAAACCGAATTAGTAATTCGGTTTGGATTTTGTTTGAATTTGAATTGGATCGGATTGGAAATATTAAAAAATATGGATTACGGATTGGATTCGGTTTGGAGTTTAAAAAAAAAAACGAATTACAAATCGAATTTCGACCCAATACTTTAAGCCCATTTTCTTTTTCAAATTATCCAACCACTTTCCCCTTTCATATATAAACTTTAAAAAAAACCTAATTCTCAATTCTCCTTTCTCAATATCTTACTCTCTCACAAAGAAAGTAGTTAACAAGAAATGATTGTAGGAATGTTTTAGGTGAAGTTCGAGTTTAAATGTTGCAAAAGAAGGGAACAAATTTCAGTTTGGATTGGATTCTAATTTGAAAAACCGAATTAATTCGGTTCGGATTGGATTGGATCGAATCGTAATTCGGTTTGGATTTGGATTAAGAATTCTGCAACCGAACTAATTCGGATTGGATTCGGTTTTGGCTATAATCCAAACCGCAAACCGAACTTTCACCCCTAATCAAGAGAGCGACACGTGGGCAGCAGTGACATCGACATCTTTTATTTTGGTAATAGTTAATAGATTTATAAACATTGATTTGCTTTGAGCAAAATAATAATAATAATAATAATAGAAAATAATAATAGAAAATAATAATATTAATAATAATAATAATAATAATAATAGAAAATTTTAATAATAATATTATTAATAACAACAACAATAATCATAATAATAAGGACACTAATAATAATCATAATAATAGTAATAAGAACGATAATAACAAGAACAAGAACAATAATAATAAGTATAATAATACTCCGTAGCCAATATTATTAAAACTTTTGGGATAACTAATCAAATTTAATTTAATATTTTTATCATAATTTATACATTTTATTATTTAGATAATGGTTATGTAATTATATGTTAATACTTTACCCTAGAATTGTAAGTAATGACTAAAATTAATGATACTCAAATGTTTTTTATATAAAACTACTAATATTATCAGTAGATATGTTAATCAAGTTGAGCAACTTGAAGTCGACTTGGACAACGCTTGGTCAAAACTTGACTTGAGTTGTCTCGACTCAAACTGTTAACCTTAACGAGCATGAGTTCAACAATACTAATACCAATAAAAGAATTAGTTATACCAACACCAGTACCAATAAAATAGATTTAACAATGATGTTTTATTTTTCCGCAATTAAATAAAAATATTATTAAACTACTCACGAGCTTATCGAGCCGAGTTATAACATGCTTAGCTCAAGTATAGGCAATTGGCCTAGAGTCGGGTTTAGACCAAGAAAATCAGGTTTGGGTAATGTTCAACCACAATCTTGGTAATTACCAAGAAAACCAGGTTTAGGTAATGTCCATCCACAATCTTGGTAATTACCAAGAAAGCTGTAGGTAATGTCTAACCATAATCTTGGTAATTTAATTACCAAGAAAACTAGGTTTAGGTATTATTCATGGACATAAGTATTAATTAATAAATTCTCTTTAAGGAAATACAAAATTAATTTATATAATTTTTGAGTTTCATTATTAATAATAAAATGACCAAGCTATTCCACGAACTTATTGAGTCGAGTTATAACTTGCTTAACTCATTCTCGTTAAGGTTAACAGTTTGAGTCGAGACAACTCAAGTCGAGTTTTGAACAAGTGTTATCGGAGTTGACCTCGAGTTGCTTAACTTAATTAACACTCCTAGTGATAATATTAGTTGCTTCAAAAAAAATTATAAAGTATCATTAATGTTAGTCACTAATTATTATAGGGTAAAGTATTAATATATAATCACTACAAAAAAAATGAGAATAGGCAACACTTATAGAAATGTTACTCTTAATAATCTAACGCAACAATATTTATTTGTTACCTTGAACTAAAGTAACGGAAAAAAAAGTGTTACTCTAGACTATATAAGGCAACAGTTGCTTAAAGTGTTACCTTTTTCTTGTCTAAGACAACAAATATAATAATTGTTGCATGAAAAGATAACAATAACAAAACTATTGTTTGAAAATGTAACATTAATATCTATGTTGCCATCTATAGCAACATATATATATACATATACACATATATATATATACATATATATATATATATACATATATATATATATTTATCAATGCAAAACTTTAACGTTCAATAACTTTAATTCTCCATAATTAAAAAATATAAAAGTTATATATTATGATAGTACTTATTGAGACGAATTCAAAATGATCCAACATAAATATGTTTTTCCTTACATATTATTCACAAAACACGGTCAAAGGAGGGTGGTGAATAGTGTAAAAGTCAAAGCGGATCAAGTAAAAAAGAACGGAGGAAGTATATATATATATGTGTGTATATATATATATATGTGTATATATATATATGTATATATATATATGTATATATATATATGTATATATATATATGTATATATATGTATGTATATATATATGTATGTATATATATATATATGTATATGTATTTATATATGTATTTATAAATGTGTGTGTGTGTGTGTGTTAAGCAAGTTTGGTAGAGTTGGTGGGAAACTAAGTCACAAGTTCGAGCCCTACCAACTACTAAATGTTTGGGAGTGACAACATTTAGAAACATATTTTAATTATCTCCTTAGATGGCAACATTTTTCATTTGTTGTCTTTGTAAAAGTGTTGCCTTATGTATCATTTTACCTTGACTTTCAAAATTGTTGCCTTTGAATAAAAATGTGTTGCCTTATGAATAGACAACGGGGGCATAAATTACGCCTCATATGTGTTGCCTTAGCTACAAGGCTACAATTTTTTTATATTAGGCAATGGTTTTCCATTGTTACCTTTGCTTTATTTTGTTGTAGTGAATTACAATTGTTAATACAAAATCACTTACTAAACGATATAATGTATAAAATTTTGATAAAAAATTTAAATTTAAGTTGATTATGTTAGGACATAATGGTGTAATTGTGTTTGATTAATGCGGAAAAAATCAATGAAAAATAAGAACGAGAATAGGCAATAAAGATGATAAACATAGAACACAAGGATTTACGTGGTTCGATCAAAATAGACCTACATCCACGGGTGGGGGATTCGAGAGCTTCTTCACTATAATAGAGAAAGAACGAGAAAATAATACAAGGAGTCTTAAATCTAATGGCTCAAAAGGTATGATCTAATTGATCAACTACAGGGTCCTTTTATAACACAAGAAAACCCTAATAAAACCCTAAAATTGTTCCCCAAGTATACTCAAATAGCCTTCATAGAAAAGATATAATTTTAGGAAATTATCCCTAAAATAATTAAGCTGAAATCGGATCCAAAAACTAAAATTTTGACTAGGCATGGGCGTGTCTCTTTTAGGCACGGTCGTGCCTTATCGTGTACTTCGTCAGCATATTTCCAGCAGCGCCAGTTCTTCATAAAACGGCCATAATTTTCTCGTTTCTTATCGAAATTGGGCATATGACCTATCGTTGGAAATCTCTTGAACCAAGATATCACCTCCAACTTGAATCACCTCAAAATCATTTGTAGTTTGAGAGATATCTGCTTTCAAAGTCAACCCTACTAGATTTCGAGTCACAATTTAACAGATTAGTTATCCCAAAAGCTTTGCCTATGATTTTTGAATGGTAATACCCATATTAATTAAGATCATGTAAAAAAAACACTAATAATATTAATTACAATATAAACTCTTTTCATAGGCAACTAGAGTTGGGTTTACACCAAGAACACCAAGTTTAAGTAATGTCTTACCACAATCTTGGTAATTACCAAAAAAACTAGACTTAGGTAATGTTCAATCTACAATCTTGGCAATTACCAAGATAACTGGATTTTTTTCGTAACTTGATATATAACTAAAATAAAAATAAAAAAGTTATATAACTCCATAAAGTAAAAGCCCAAACAAACTTGGGCCTAATGTTTGAATAACTAAAGCCTTAATTAAAGGCTAAGTTATTCATACTATTGAATGAGATGCTAATTTTTTCTTTTTATAACCTCTCCATGCCAGTACTTTCTATTTTCTTTCAATGTGGGACTTTTTGCTCAACACGAAATTACTCTATATGAATAGTTTTTTCTTCCTCCTTTATTCCATTACATTGTTTCATTTGTTCAATCTTAATCATTCTTATCTACCTAACACAAAATTATTTCATCATCATTTAATTAATTTCACTTTAAATTTTAAATGTGCTAGTTGTGAACATAAGTACTCCGTAATAGCTTCTCTCTATAGAGGTACATATACAATAAAATGTATAAAATTATTTAAATTAATTAAGTTGATATATATTTATCCCAAAAGCTTTGTTAACCAATTTTAGATGTTAATAATTTAATATCCATCATTTTTCTATCTCATCTTCTTATTACATTATTTCACCTCTAGTGATAATATTAGTTGCTTTACAACTTTCCTTGAAATTGATACTCTTTTTTATTTAAACTTTGTATAAATTAATTTACAAGATTGAAACATACTCCTGTTGATTTAGTCAAGTGTCTCTTGTGAGTTGTGGCTTGCTCCCTGCTCAGAGACTCTACTTGTATGCAATTTCGATAATGAAATTGTTAAATTATATAATGATAATAATAATTAATATGAACAACTACAACAGCAACAACTAACAACAACACAACAACAACAACAATGACGACAAGCTTATCGAGCCGAGTTTTAGCATGCTCAACTCGTGATTGTTAAGTTACAAGTTTGAGTCGAGACAACTCGAGTCGCGTTTTGACCAAGTGTTGACCGAGTTGATCTTAAGTTGCTCAATTGGATTAGGCCCTTAGAATTTATAATATATGTTGTTAAAGAAAACTATTTATATAATAATAGCAATGTTAGTTAATAATAGTAATAGCAACAACAACAACACTACTACTAGTAATAACAATAATCAATCAATCAATCGATAACTATATACGGAGAACGGAGTACCAATACCAACCTTTATTCGCGCTCCATCTAACGGCTCACTAGTTACTCATGACCTTATCAAGCCGATTTATAGCTTGCTCAACTCAAGTAGACAACTCGTGTCGGGACACTTAAACATTTATTAACAAAAAATAATCTAGGTGAGTTGAGTTATAACTTGCTCAACTCGTGCTCATTAAGGTTATGAGTTTTAGACCAGACAACTCGTGTCGAGTTAGGCCAAATCGATCTCCATTTGCTCAATTCAATTAGTATATATTTATACACATTTGTTTATTACACAATTATGGCATGCCAATTTACAAACATTGATTTGCTCAATAATAATTAATAATTTATAAATATTCTACTAATCGACGAATAAACATTAATTTGCTCAATAATTCTTAATAGTTTATAAAAATTCTACAAATCAACAAATAAGGAAAATGTATACACTAAAATCAATTTTTCTTTTAAAAAAATATTACACAAAATAATTTCTTATACCATGTAAATGTTAGTATTATATAAATTTAAAAAGCATTACTTTCATTAAAGTTTAATTATGATAATTTTTCAAATAATAAGTTAAATAAAGAACTTACTTTTATGCACGGGATTTATATTAGTATGGGTGATATTAATTGTTTTTGTTATAAACAAAAATTTAAAGGAAAATTTGTCAGGAATATTATGACCTTTACCCGGTCTTCCATAAATATTATGACCTTTTGTTTATCCCGGAATAAAATGACCTTTGACAAGGATCTTCTCTAAATAGGACATTTTACATGGTAACCGGGTTTTGCAGGTTAATGGCTAACGTGTAAATGACCGTTGGGAATTTTTGCCATGTAAAAAGATTCCCATTCTTATTCATTTAGCCCCTTTGTTTCTCTCTCCCCTGTTCATAAAAATTAAAAAAAAAAATATGGCTTTAAGAAGGCAATCTTCTGCTAATTCTCTCTCCTCTGTTCAATAATGTACTTCGTTATTGTAATACCAAAAAATTAGCTATGTTAGGAAGTTGTATTGTGTTAAAGATTTGACTTTGTATCACCACTTAAGTTGAATAAAATGGTTTCAGTTTCTACTAATTAAGTATTAATTTTGCGAGCATAACATAACAGCATAAAGTGTACATTGCATTGCAAAACAACTTCAGTTTAGTACATCCACCAGTGCTTTGTGAAACAAAATGATAATTGTTCATGCAAAATAAGCATAGTGGTTAGTACTTCATTACAGACAAAATGCTGGCAAGGCATTAAGCTAAATAATGGTCTTAGATTTTATTCACAAAAGTTCATAAACAAAAGGCACAAGTGAAGGTCAGATTGCAGTTATTGGGTGGACTGTGATCCTCTTCCAAGACCTCTTCCCTTTCTTCTACCCCCTCCTCTAGTGTTAGCCCCCTGCAAAACACAAAAAAGTTAAAACATGTGTGATATGCAAAGAATGAAAATATGTGAAGCAATCACATATTTATACCTGTGAAAGTGGTGTCCCATCTGAACTAAACAACACTCCAACTCCTATTGGGACCTGTGAAGAAAAAAACAACATTGTTAGGGTCACACTCATTAATAGCAAGATGCATGGTTAAAATAAGTAGGATTTATACCTTAGTCCTGCCTCTGCCAATGCCTCGTCCAGTTCCTCTCCCTCTTGTTCTCTGTGTTCCTTGACCTGATGCAGTAGGTTGGCTAAGAAACACACCTTTTCTAGCAGCTGCTTGGGTTACACCTCTTTCACCTTGGCCTCCTAAGATCACCCTCCCACCCCTACCAAGTTGAGTAGGTTGTGCTGTAGTTGTATGGTGTTGTGATGTAGCCTGTTGAGCTGAAACGGGTGCAGTGGTAGTTGTTGCAGCATGAGTTGATGATGAAGCTACTTGTGAAGGGACTAGTGGTTGGGTTGAAGCAAAATCATTCCTAGGCCTTCCTATTGGTCTTTTAGGAGCAGGTTCAGGTTCTACATAGGTCCCTTTATCTGGACAACTCCTTTTGTTATGTCCCTTACTCTTACAGATGCTACATGTCATCTCAATCCCACTCCTTAATAAAGAACCAGGCTTCTTTGGGTTTTCAAGGGGATGCTTGATCCTATTCTTCCTTGGTCTACCTGGACCAATCTTTATTGGAGGTGGGTCCAAGTTACAGGGAACCTTTGGCCAGTACCTCTCTCCCTCACAAGGTGGGATTGAACCACTATAAGCCATAAAATAGGTTTCAAGCATGAACCACTCATCAACATAAGCCTCTGCATCTTTGTTCAAGAAAAAGATGCAGGCTATGGCATGGCAACAAGGAACACCAACCATGTTCCATTTTCTACAACTACATGTCTTTGCAACTAAATCAACATTAACTTGGTCTAAGCAATATCTAACATTAAACAATCTGTCAGAGGAGGGGAGGACATCACAGTAAGCTGCTTTTTCTTTTTCTTTCTCAAGTCTGGCTCGTACCCTAGGGCACAAAATACTTGTGTGTTTCTGCATTTCCTTTTTCTTATTCACTAACCTTTGCATAAGAGCAACCCTAATATCCTCTAGCATGTAAATGAGGTGTTTTGTCCAAGCATTAATTATGTATGCGTTGAAGGTTTCGGCCATATTGTTTGTTATGACATCAGTCTTGAAAGATGTATTTAGGAATGCTCTACAGAAACAGTTAGGATTGTACCTCTGAAAAGCAAGAGCTGCCTCAGGATCCATTTTTTTGAGCTGCTCTAAAGCCTCATTATAATCTGCCTCATTGTAGGATTTGGCTATCTTCCAAAACTGGAGCTTCATTTCATCTTCTTTGTATGTTCTATGCCAGTGTGAGAAAATGTGTCGAGCACAGTGTCTGTGCTCAGCTTTAGGAAGCACTTCAGCAACAGCATGTAGGATTGCCTGAAAACACACACAAACAGTAGGAAAAAACAACATATGTCATATATATTACCCTTTACTCAACCTTGAACAACTAATTATAAACATCAGAAAACACCAAATAGATATAGAAGACACAATTACCTGATGTTCATCAGAAATAATGGCCACACCAGTGCCATCTCCTTGCTCCAAACAAGCCTATAGATGGGTGAAAAACCAGACCCAAGACAAGTTATTTTCACCCTCCACGGCTGCCCATGAAATGGGAAACTCTGTTCATTAGGGTCTCTTCCCACTGCACTCATGATCTGACCCCCTAAAAAGGTTTTTATGAAGGCTGCATCAACACATATTACCCTCCTACAACCCTTCTTCCACCCTTCCTTAACTCCATCAAAGCATACAAACAATCTTTTAAACATTGGACTTGACAATTTGGGGTCTGCATCAACCACCAATTCCAAGACTGTTCCTGGGCTTGCATTCTTCACAGCTTGAATATATCTCTCAACCTTCATATAGTGCTTCCTCATAGATCCATGAAGCATCCTATGAGCATGATACTTCACTTTGTATGCGAAATCCCTCCTAACTATTACTCTATAAGCTCTTCTTATAGTCTCAATTATGTCCTTAGCCGGCCAGTGTGGCCTAGCTTTGAACACTTCTAGCAGCTGACTAGCCACCCAAGTTGATTTCAACTGCCTATTCCTACTCATGTTTCTGTGGCATGTGTGAAGATCAACCACTGTCTTCACAAGCCAAGTCTTCTCTCTAGTATGCATTGAACAATAAAGTTAAAAGGGGCACTCACCAACACACCTCACTGCTAATTGGTCCTTCTTTTTGTTACTAATCACATAACTAATATCCTTCCCCTGCAGAACAACATACTTACTCACAGCTTCCTTGAACTCAGCTCTGTTTGGAAACCTTTGACCCACCTTCCACACAAATGTTTTGAAGTCTGTGTCCCCTCTTACTAACAAATATTTCTTAGATCTGTTACTTCCCTCACCTTCATCCTCACTATTATGTGGTGTGTGTATCTCCTGGTCACTGTCCTCATACTCACTTGTCCCACCTTCAGGGGCTGCTGACTCAACATTGACTGGTGGCTTCTTGGATGACTGGCCTAACTTCCCTTCAGCAGCTTCTTGTTGCAACTGATGAGCTATCTGAACCAGCTTATTAGTCACTATCTGAACCCTTATTCTAGCCTCAACCAACTCTTCATCACTTTCATCTAACTCACCAACATTAAACTCATCTTCTACAAACTCCTTTTCAACCCCTTCCTCTAATTCTATGTCACTCAACCTAGAATCAGCATCATCCTCACCATCAATTTCATGTCCCTCACCAACTTCTTGGTACTCTGGTGCATATTCAGGGTCACTCTCATCACTACACTCACTGCCCTGACCTATAAGTTCACTCCATTTCAATGGATTTTAGGGCCTGTTGTCCTCCCACTCATACTCAGCATTGAAAGATGGGTCTATAAGGGGAAAATCAGTTGTAGTGTGAATGTTTGAAGTTTGGTTTTCAGAGGGTTGCACACTGCCTTTAAAACTCAGATCTGGATTCAAGGTTTTAATGAGGTAGTTGGCTCATTAAAAAAGGAGGTAGATAGATGAGAAATGGTGGATTTTTTCTAGATTGGTATTGTAGTTGGATTATTATTAACATCAATGAGTGAGGTGGAAGCATCTTTTTTGGCTGATGTGGATGATTCTTGCTGTTTACTAGGACTTTTCCTGGTGACTGATATCACTTTTGTGGGTGGTCTCTTTTTTGGAGTCATTTTTTTCCTTTTTTTGTTTCTTATTGGTTCCAGTGGTTGGTCATTAGTAACTTGTGTAGGATTTAAAACTTGAGAAATATTCTCAACTGGTGGTGCATCTGTATTGGGGACATATGTTTGGGGTGATTTATCAACAACAGCATGTGTACTTGTCAAGGGAGGGTCCGGATCTACATGCTTTAGGTACAATTCAACACACCTATTATTTATAGCTATTTCACCCAACTCCAACACTTCCTTATCCCCATCTATTCTCCTAAGTCCATCCTGTATATTCATTCCAGGAATTAAATAGTACAGTCCGCCCACATGTGCATATCCACATTTTTTTTGCAAATTCTAATAACTCCCAATAACACAACTCATCTGGGTCAACCTTAAAAGTCCTCCCCTTACCACCTAAATATACCATTTCCCCATTATTAACATGCTTGAAGGAACCACCATGCCAAACTTTTATACTGACCGTACAAAAAACCGCAGACATAATTACCTAAGCATATACAAATACACACTTCACTTTTCACTTCCAACAAAAACACACATCAACCAACTATATCAATATGATTCAAATTATTAAAATCAACATAAAACATAGCTATCAGCCCTAAATTACTCAAATTTTAGGCTAAAATTACAAACAAAAACAACAATAACAACAAGTACTTCATCTAACTACACAAATTTAACAAAAAAAAATCAATCTTTAAGCAATATCGCACTTCAATTGGTCCTTAAGCATAATCCCACTACAATCCCACCAACAAATCCCAAATTAAAGTAACAAAGACTTACCTCAGTACCACAATTTCGGCTCGAACTTCTTTAAATACCAACTTTGCTTTTGCTCACCAACAATCGCTCCAATAATCTCCTGAACACTCCAATTACATGCGCAATTTAATGACTCTGAGCAATTTTGTGGTTAAAACGTGTTTACATGAATTGCCTTAATTGGAAAATTCAAAGAGGGTAGAGAGAGACTGGGAGAGGCAAAGAGAGAGTGAAATTAATGGGTGTTTGGGTAATTAATGCCACGTAGACTTCATTTGGAGGAAAATAGAAGTCAAGGGTTGACCACCCACCTAAAGAGCAAGTCACAACCGGTTAAAGGTAAAATGTCATAATATTTATGGAAGACCAGGTAAAGGTCATAATATTCCTGATAAATTTTCCAAATTTAAATTAAATTTAAATTTAATTAATAATAAAAAAAAATTTAAACCATGGTTATATTTTTACAATTAAATTTAAATTATTTAATTAATAATAAATAAAAAAACCAAAACCATCTTCACCCACACCACACAGCCACCTCCCCCTCCCCTAACCGCGGCAACATACCGGCGACACTCCCGACGACTGCGGCACCCACCTTCCCCCGCCGTCACACCTTCATCCCTACTCTAAACCCTAACCCCGATGTTTCCCTTCTTCCTCCCCCACCCCAATTTGAACCAACATCACCTTCGTTTCGTGCTGGTTTGGCCGGCGTTAGCGTTTGTGGGTGTCGCCAGCGATTTTGCGATAAAGGGGAAAGGGAGAGGGATGAGTCGTGGCCGACAATTTTGCAAATGGGGAAAGGGAGAGGGACGAGTCTTCGCCGGTAGTGGTAGGGCTGGTTCGCGACGATGAGATATGGGGTTTGGAATGGCCTAGGGCGTTGCCGGCGTATTAGGGTACTGGGATGGTAGTTGCCGGCAGTCAAAGTTGGTTGGCGGTGGTCTCCGTCAGTCTGAGACGGTGGCTGTGGTGGCGGCAATGGGGGGCTGGTGAAGAGGGTGGCTTGAATTTTTTTTTTTTTTTATAATTTCTAAAATTATTTTCTAATTTCCATAAATGATTTTTAACAATTTAGAAAATCATTTATGAATTTTAATTAAAAAAAAATTAAAATGGACCACTTTGATTATTTGTGGCCTAGAGTGTGCCATGTAATATAGCTTTAGGTGATCAAAATTTCTTTGATCACCTTAGAATTCTCATGCATAACACTGATATTTATCAACTCTATACTATTTCATTCCTTTCTAGTAAACAAAAAATATTGTTTTTTAAAACTTGTTTGTTTTGGAGGTAAATATTGCTATGAAAAGTGAAGTGGTGATGAAAACTATTTTTTTAAATTGTTAAAAATAAATTTATCTGTATTTAGTATGCCATATTGTTCTCTTAACTCCTTAGTCCTTACTCTTCATTGATCATTCCTCCTTTTCTTTATCTCCTTTTTATTGACTTATTCTCATTATCAGTTTCTCCTCGGTTTTTCATAATCAAACAAATAATACTTTTTCCGCATTAAAGTATGTAGAATATTGTTTTTGATCGAAACAAACCAAGCCTTAGAATTACCAAATTGTTTATCTCAAGCCAAGACTTAGAATCACCAAAATGTAGTATCAAGCTCTAATAAGTTCAGTTCAACTCCTAATTTCCTTCTCTCATAAAATATTCATTTCAGCTCAGTTCACTTCAGTCAATGAGAACATGCCCTTAGTGTAGAAGAAAACGCGTAGTATTGTATTAATGTCAAAAGATGTAGTTCTCTAAGTGTTGGATGGTTGGACCTGTTGTGATCTGATATTCAGTTGTTAAAAAAATGTAAGATATTGTTGCCAAATGCCAAACACCCCATAAGTTTGCATCAATTTTATTTGGAAAATTTGTTAATTACTACCTTATAAACAGATGCCTTGTGAATTACTACCCCTAAAAAAAAAATTAAATTACTACCCTTAATTCACCTAAATAGGACCGATTACTACCCAATAGCACTTTCCGGTGACTTAACTTAAGTGATGATGTCATAACTCAGATTTAACCACACTTTACCCTAACTCTAATCAAATTAACCCAACCAATCTAAAATTAACCTAACTAACCCAAATTAATTAACACAGTAAAACTAAAAAAAAATTACCCTAACTAATTCCTCTGTATAACTCAGTATCCCCAATACTACCATTTTAACGGCTCCTTCCACCATGTCCAACTGAAATCTTCTCTCAGACTATCAACTGTAAATCGCCTTGTTCATAATCACATCGCACAATTGTTTGATTAATTTGCAAGAGGAAGACATCTTAAGAGGTAATTGATTAACTTCCTTCAATTTAGTTCTAAAGTTTTCTAGTTTTTAGGGTTCATTGTAAATTTTGGGTTTTTTTTTTCATAATTGAACAATTTAAACCCAATTAATTGTTAATGGTTGCAGATGAGTTTACAAATTGCTCGAGTAAATAGAAGGCTTTGTAGGTGTGGGTTACCTACTTCAATCATGACCTCTTGGACAAAGGAGAAACCGGGGAGACGATTTGTTGCCTGCCCTGATTTTGATGCGGATAAAGCATATAAATTTACTTACTTGGACCTAACAACTGCATGAGTCTTTCTCGTTTCTCCTCCGATGTCAATCCCTTTGTTCTTCCCCATTTTTGCTTCGCTTCAAGATCAATGAAGTTTATAGG